CCCCCCCCCCCCCATCACTAAAGATTCATGGAATTTACGGGTAAGACGTGATATGCCTCAACATATAGCGTAGCCGTTTACCGTTGAACTCTGTAGAGACAGGGTGCTGGTTCGATCCCCCCCGCGTGTTATGTATTCTTCCTGCGCTGATCATCTCGAATGAGAGGCAAGTTGTCTGCCAACATGTATCGCTTGATCAACCCAACCGTAGAGTGGAATACAATAATAGACGGGAGGGGAAAGCGCTCACGTACTTTTTTCCTTTCTCCTTCACACCAATCCGCGCATAACCGCTTTCATAACCCGGCACGTTATTCCCGCTCGGCCTGTAACCCCCCCACGATATCCCATGTGATAACCCCTCGTTGGCAAGAGGTTACATAACGCCCCCGTACAACCGTGCCCACTGGCCACAGCTGTGAAGGGCAACGACAGGCTATGTGGGAGAAGGGCCCCTTCTTCCCCTTGCTGCCTCGGCAAGGTTTTGCGTCGGCATGACCCATAGCGAGGGGAGGGTCTTTCTGGCGAGCAGGGCTAGGCTACCCTCACGGGACCGATACCTTCTTGCTGCGTCGCACCCGCCGCGAGGCGTGCGTAGTGGTGAAGTGAGTCGGCACTGGTGCGTCAGGTACTAAGGTGCAGATGCGCGGGCCTCCAGGCCGTCGGTGTAGGCAGCAACGCCCATCTCATCCTTGTGCGCGGAGGCAGACGTCATCAGAAAGGTGGACGGACACTATGTACACGGCCCTAGGTTTGCTAGAGGTGCTGTACTTTCTCAGTAACCTGGTTTTGCCATCAAAGGAGGAGGGGACAGGTGGTGACGAGCTGATTGGGCTGGTTGACCCTTCGGCGCGAGAATTTTTAGACCAAGAACCCCAAGTGCAACGAGGGAGAAACTCGAGGAACCGCCTGGGAAGGACAGCAACGGGAGCGTGTACGAAGCTGAGCGGGTCGAGTTTGGTCGTGCTAGGACTGGCCACAGCGGCACCGGAGCAGCGGCACCGGAGTAGCGGCACCAGAGCATGCGGACGGCATCGAACCGTGGCGCACAGACAAACTTCTACAACCATCATCAACAACAACATTCATTCATGTTAAATTTTTTCGCATTTCGAACTTTGCTTTCTCTTCCTTCTCGGTCGTGAGGCTTTCTTCATTTTTGCTTTCCATTTCGACTTTCTTTCGTTCTCGTGGGGATGGTGCGTCGCTCTTTGTTTTGCAGCTCTTCATTCCTTGGGGTGTTCCACTTGTTCAACATTGGCTACTCTTTAATGTCGGTGACCGCACAAACACAAGCAGCCGTTTGTGCGTCGTATTTTGCACTCTGTAACTTCCCAAGCCATCGGGCCTTCACCCGCCTTTCATTATCGTGTCGGTAGCGGTCGCTATCGTCCCTCGAGAAAAAATGCAAAACAGAGCTGACTGCCTTTCCGTTTCGCGGATCTACCGGACCGCGTCCTTGCTAGATATTGTGACAAGCACCTGACACGAGTTTAATGTGAAGACAAAAACTACAACCGATCGATCTAGCCCATGTACGCAACGGACGGACATTGCTAGCCCCAAACATAAAAAACCTACATGGCCTACACTACTAAAAGCAAGATTTCTTTTATCTTAGTCTCATCTAAACCACAAATACACCCTATAAAAAGACTTGAACCACAAATACAAAAAAAATCTTCCCAAAAAGTTGGAAAAAAAGACCGAAAACTTATGAAGGCGATACGTAAAATTACTACAAAAAAAAGCAACTTTAGGTACAAGAGCAAAAATTAGACTGACTAAAGTAGGTGCTCTTTCATAAACATTGTCGACCTCACATCGTCCAAGCCGACCTCGTTTGTTTTACCCTTTTTCCGCAGCGCCTACTCCCTCTGCGTATATTGAATCGCCGCACCCACATCCACGCATGCTGGCCGCCCGCCACAAGGCCGGGCTGGGGGCCAACAATCGTTCCCCGAGTAGTTCACAGACCACCGAACGAAGGAAGAGGGGAAAGGAACCAACCGAGGTGGGTTATGGAACGCTTACACGAGAACTAGGTACCAGTTGTGTGTACTTGAGATCCTTACCTGCAACGTCGAACCTAGCTGCTATCTTCTTGTTGCCGCTGTTGCCGATTGAGAGGAGGATGAAGAGGAGGATGAAGAGGAGGAGGAGGAAAAGTGTGTGAAAGGTGCGGTGGCCGCGGGGTGTGTGGCACATGAACTTTGCGGTCGATGTTGCCTCCCCTGGCTGATAAGTTAACAAGGCGTGACAAACTGAATTTTTTCTTCTCTCCAAAACTACTTGCTGAAGAAAGGGAACGGCGGTGGATTGTGGTCGTACGCACGACAGCTCAATACAGCAGCAGTGAGTTATATGTTGTTGAGATCCTTTCCTGCAAGGTTTCAGCATCTGCTTTATTTTGTTTCGCTGCTGCTGCCGAGTGACGAGTGAGAGGAAGAGGAGGAGGAGGAGGAGGAAGAGGAGGAGGAGAGTGTTGAGAGGAGGTGCGATGGCCGGTGGCGAGAATACTTCTTTCGCTGTGTGTTTCATATTTTTCTTGAAGAAAAATACTTGCTCGGCGTTCGATCTTGCCTCCCCTGGCCTGCAAGCCCTGACAAACTGGATACGGTTTGTTTTTCTTCTGTCGTGCCGGTTTGTTGTTGTTCTTCATTCACATTAAACTCGTGTCAGTTGCGAATCCCAAAATCAAGCAAAGACTCGGTCCGTGGTCACGAATATGCTAGAGCCATCAGATCTAAAGAACGCGCATATGATGAGCAAGAAAAGGGTACACAAGCCCAAGGAGGTACACCTACAATCCCGGCAGCACGGGTGCATGCTCACAACTGAACTACACGCCGAGACACTACACTTCGACTACAGCAGCAGCATCACCCCCCTTGTCCCGCATTTGCCGGTGCAGCAGAATTTAGATCCAAAGAAGGATGAACAAACATCGACGGAAGAAGGAAACGGCACAGCGGTTAATTGTGGTATGCCGTAGAACTGCTGTGTAGACTATATGAGACACTAGTCCCTGTCAGAGACAGAGGCCGGTGCTCTTGCAGTATTCTCCCACTGCCGAGGGTGGCTATTTCCTTTCGTGAGAAATAACGAGGAGAGAGGTAGAAAAAGAGTGACCAGAGGGTCGAGCGGCTCTCTTCCCTCGGCAAGCGGCCATGGACTTCGGAAGAGAAATCTCCTCGGTGCTTTACTCGCCACTTCTCCCGATGGCAAGTTACCCCGAGGACTGATTTCTTCCTTACTTTGTATGTGCAAAAATGGTTGGTTATTATATATTCGGACAGGTGTCCTCCACATAAATATAAGTTGTGTGAGTTGTGCCTACATACGTACAAGTTGAGATCCTTGCAATGCAAGGTTCCAGGATCTGCTATGTTCTTGTGCGGTTGTTGCCGAGTGAGAGGACGAGGAGGGCAAAGAGGGTGTGTGAGAGGAGGTCCGATGGCCGGTGGGAAGTTGCGCGGATGTGTGTGTCGCAAGAATTCTTCTTTGTTTGGCGTTCGATCTTGCCTCCCCTGGCCGGTAAGCACGCAGTGACAAACTGGATTGTTCTTGATTTGCGGACAGCAGTATTCAGTCACAAGAGGACTGGTGGAGTGCTGTACATCTCTACTGCTGTCTATTCGTTGAGATTCTTGCTGCTTCAGCTGCTCAAGTCTGGTTGTTGTTGTGCTGCTGTCGCCGAGTAAGAGAGGACGAGGAGGACGAGGAGGAGAGGAGGAGGAGGAGAGTGCGAGAGGAGGTGCGAAGGCTGGTGTGGTGCGGGTGCCCTTGTGTTACTTGCATCGACCGCGCTAAGTGGTTGACCAATGAAGAAGAGACAGACGCCCGTTCGAGTTGGGTCAACACCAGTAGGGTACTGCTGCTGTGGGCAGAGGCACAGCCATGCCGTGACAAACGACATTATTGTTCTTTTTATATTTTCTTACAATCACACAACAAATCCATCTCTATCTATAGAAATAGGTCTAAGATAGATCAGCAATGAATCCATAGCGTGAGCGAAAGGCTACCTGTATATCTACGGTTTCCCAGACAGCATACAACGATATCTCCCCTGTGGGTAACAGGCTCAACAAAGCAGTTTGGTAGCCATCTTGTGTATCTCTGTAGGTTACGTTGTATATTTTTTCTTCCCGTGACATGCTTGATTGTTCTTGCCGCTGAAGTGTTCTATTCTCCGACGAACGAATCAAGTTCTTCAACTTATGTCCGGAAATTTGGCTGCAACAACTATTCTTCTTTTATGTGATTTATTTTCAGAAGCTGAATTAGCTGCGCACACAAAAAAGCATGCGCGTGGTGGTGTAGTTGGGTCGGCACTGACATGTCATCGGAGAAGCCCAGTAGAGGCCCAGGCCGACCCGTTGGGTCGACCACGAAGAACCCTAATGCGAGAAAAACCGGACCAAAAGTAGGCTTGGGGCCGCCCGTGATGGCCAACCCATGGGCAAGACAGGCGCCTCCAGCAGCGGAGACAAGACAGGCGCCTCCAGCAGCGGAGGAAGGAGCTCACGGTGGGAGTGCCCAGGCTATCAACCTTGCGGTAGGTGCGGTGGGTGCGCCTGAGTCGGCAGGAACAGCAGAAGGTGGTGTTTCACCAACGGTTGCCGCCGCCGCCGCCGCCGCCGCAGCAGCAGCAGCAGCAGCAAGAGCAACAACTCAAGATACCGCAGCAGGATCAACAGCACCGCCGATGGAGATGTTTTCAACTTATTGTGAATGTAGCCAACCTAGATGGTAGTGTTTGACTACTCTTTTGTAAATTGCTCCCTCTTTTGCAGCATGAGAGCCCATGTTGTGCTGCCTTGTGTCTGGTGTGTGTGGCAGATGGACGTTGTAGTCACACTGCTAATTTTTTATCCACATGTTCATAAACGACTCAACGCGCCTGCTGCATGGATGCAAATATTCCATCGCTCAATAACCCAGAGGAGCAGACGCAAAAATCGGTTTTGAAATCGGAGCTATTTTCGAAAAGATTCGGCTTGAACAAGGACGCGACAAATCTCGGGGCAAAAAAGGGTCTCCAATATTTTTTGCGGCCTTCGGCCGCAATAGTTTAATTCCCCTAAAACTCTGTCCCGGTACATCAAAAATTTGCCGTAGCGGTGTCACATTCTCAGCTGCCTCAACGATATGCTAAGGATGCCATGGATGTGACGTTGATGTGATGTAACGCTTTTGGAGGCAGCTGCTTGCTACAGAATGTGACACCGCTGATTGCCTATGGATGTCGGCTCCGCTGACGTAGGTTGACTATGTCTGCACAGGTGAGACGTATCTTACCCATTTGAATTAAGCTCAACCTTACGTCTATTCTACACCCGAATGCCAATATTGCACTCTCTACATACTCTTTCCCAGAGGCAGGATCACAGCTCCATACATGCCTCAGCACGAACCTAAGGAGTCACTGACTCAAAGAGCGGAGGGCAGCAACAGAGATGTTTCAAGCCCGGCCGAAGCCAGGATCTCGTGGTATGCTGCATCTCCCAATTTGAAAATCGTACACCCCCACGATCCAGCAGTCGTCGTGTCAGCAGCAAGACGAGTCAAACCAAATAGTAACACATACACTATTATAGCTCCACATACCCTCCTGTGTGTGTATGTGTTCGTCCCATCTATTCTGGCGCCGGTTTACAGGGCTTTCGGCGTCTGCACCTGACGTATCAGCCGGGGTAACACAATACAAGTGGAAGACCGGGGCTTTTTTCACTTGTTTGTTTCGTTTTATTGCCCCACGTTTCCCCCTGCGGTGCTTGCCTTGGTTTGATATCGCGAGAAGGGTTCAACCATCCCTTGTTGTACGTACTCTTTTCGATGGGGGATCTGCACATACCCCCTCGCCCTTAGGGGGTAACCGGAACCCGATCTTCTTTGTGCGTGCACGCGTTCGCTCTTCGATTTATGTCCATGTGAGAAGAGGTAACCGTCCTCGATAGACGGTTCAGTAGATTGAACCCGTACTAAAGGGGCACCTCTCTTAAGAACGGTCCGACTATTCGATTCCCTCGTCGACCGTGAAATCGATATAATCGTGTGGTACACGCGAACCAATTCGGTATCCACGTTTGTTTGGGCGCAACATGAGAAAAACCCCGGTTCGATAATGGATATATACATCCAAACGTTCGAGTCGCGAGGATACCAACTGCACCACTGGGGGGAAGGTGATGGAATCGGAAACGAGGCAAGACAGCGGCACGGCTGTGTCCGGTACTAACCCCGTTTTCATAGTTGCATCACGTACCCAACCAACCATCCTGCCTGAGGTCACTTTCCCTATTGCATTTTTCAGAATCATCGTATTTACATGGGAACCCAAACGATCGGTTGCCTAGGCTGTGATATACGCAAGAACAACATATGAGATAAAACGACACACACAACACACGGAATGGTGCTTCGGTCCACATGCAGTAGAAATAGTTTACCCCACGCCACAAACGCCATTTTACCAGTCGGCAGCCAGGTTTGATCGTACAAAAGCGGCACTCGTAGACGACGGCGTCGAGGATGCATCAGCAGCCACCAACTTTCCCCCTTGCCTTCCTCCTCTTGTCCTTCTCCTGCCCCCTCTTCCGCTCCCCGTTCCCCTGTCCCGTGCTCCCCCCGCGTCTTTCTCGAGGGCCGTCAGTGCTCCACGGCTCTCGGCGTGAAAAAAATCCCGGACGTCCTCCTCCTCGGCAGACGTCGGCGTGCACCTCAGCGCTCGCTGGAAACTAGCCTTGGCCATCGGCGTGTCCCCCATCTCCAACGCCACGAGGCCGCGGCAGTAGTGGTTACGGGGACACCGGGAATCGATCTTGAGCGCCGCGTCGAAGTGAGCCTATGTCATTGTCGTGTTTTTTCCCGCGTCCGCGAGCGCGAGCGCGTACAAGTGCCCCGACAGGACATGAGGGGGGGTAACGCGAAGAGGATGGAGACCAAGTAGGGCGAAAAAAGGGCGCTGTGAACTGGCATGAAACTTGTCACGGAGGTATTCATGGCGCAATGCAAGTGCTTTGGTATACGGTTCCGGGACTCAGCTGAGGCGGCGCGGACCGGGAAAGTGGGGGAGGCGGGGGGGCGAGGAAGGGAGTACGGTGCACGCGTGCTACGTATGAGGCGTTTTTGAGACGCCGAGGGCAACGGGGGGGGGGGAAGTCGTGTACGTGTGTTCCATTCCCCACGAATGGGCAACTTCACGATGAGTACTACAGTAGTGCGGAGTGACCGGCGCCGTTGGAACTCAAGACGAGCGGATATAAGACAGCAGTGAGAGGACCAAGGCGAGTGGGGGAAACAAACTACCAATAATGCACGTGTGACCGCTGCAACGCCTTTCAACAAAAACAAAGGGCGAGGGCGACGAGTATCCATGCACGCGCGCCTCCCATACCTTCGCTACACATGGTACGGGTGAGCGCACGAGCTGCTGGTCACGATGCGTACCTTGGCCTTGGCGAGGTTGTGTACGGGCCAGGGCGCGACTAGGTAGAACGATCCCAAGAACGTGTGCCCCACGCCCCCCTGGTACGCTGGGTGGTCATCGATGAGGGGCTTCACGTTGCGTCTGAAGGCAACGGCATCGGCCTGGAGAGCGGCCCTCAGCACACCCTTGGCACTCGACAGGTAGGTGGAGGCTTCGGCTTGCAGGAAGCGGTACTGATGTTGTTTCCATGTGTGGGCGGAAGGGAAAGAAAGGTCAAGGTCGTGAAGTATAAAAAAAAGCACGGCGAATGGCGGAATACAGCCGCGGGAGCGTTGTCGGTGTGCACGCGGGGAGTTGGTGCCGAACTTGGACACCTGTATGCATACGACCGTCAAGTCGGCCACGTGGCTCTAGTGCCTTCGCCCATACCCACTCTCACGCCAGCTAGATCACAACCCCCGTTGCTACAGTACATACACCGGTCGCCCCGGTGGTCTAGTGGGTAGACTCGCAGCCTGCTAAGGGCCAGGTCATGGGTTCGAGTCCCGACAGATTGAGTTTTTTCTCGCTCATCAAATCCTGGTCTCCGTTGGATGCGACGCGCTGCAAAGCTCGTTGCTAGTAAACTTTATCGACTTCAAAAGTCGCGAGGGAAGGGATTGCTGTACTCTTCTCGCGATAAAAATATCTTAGGCAGGAACCGCAGGAGGGGGTCCAACCCCCCCCTCCTATGTGACCCCGGTTGGGTCGTCTACCTGGTAGAAGTGGAGGATGGGGGCCAGAGGGGCAGACGACAGAGTCCAATGATGGGAGAAAAAAGTAAAAATAATACACTGGCGCTGTGCAGTGCCCCCCACACTCACTCACCTTAGCTAGATCATAGCCTCCGTCACAACTGCCGCTATCCAGTGCGTGCGTAGCGCCAGTCTTGAGCAAGCGCAGCGCCTCTGGCGCGTGTTTGCGCCAGATCGCCCTACTCGCCGGGCTGTCGCCGTCGCAGACTTTCCCCTCCGCCGACACTCGTGGAAAATTTCCGTTGGTCGTGTGCCTTATCCACTTCAGGAGGGCCTCTGCAGTATCGAGGTGCAGGCGCGGGTCGTCGGGGTTGCGCTTGAGCTCGGACCTGCGGCTCTCATACTCCATCCACGCGACCTTCGCTCTGTTGCTTCCTGCCGAAGGCGCGTGCTGCTTAATCTTGAGAGCAACGGCGGAAAGCCAAGATTCTTTGGCTTCAACCTCTCCTCCTCCTCGCCACCACAACAGAGACGATGCTGCTGCGCCGCTGGTCGTGTAAGGATTGTCAAGATTTCTTTGCGTTGCCGCTGGTGCTGGTGTTGACTTTTTGGCGGCAGCTGGTGAAAGGACGCTACCGCTGAAGCAGAATACCACCGCAACTCCTGCCAGCACCGGAAGTCGCATGCCGAAACTACGTGATGTCTACTGCTTTGCACACGCACACAAGCTAAGCATTTGACGCGAGTCGCACAATTCAACGAGCAATGCCCACAGCACAGCAGCAAGCACCACCAGGAAAAGAGAAAGGGGGCTTACGTGAAAGCCGAAGGCAGAAAACAGAGAAGGACCGCGGCGACGCTGCCTCTACCTTTATCTCTGGAGGAGAGGAGGTCGTTGCGCTGGAGAGTCCACCCCTGTTTGTGTCACTACTGCTCCTGCTCAGCTGCTGTTTGCCTTTTGGAAAGATAATGTGACGCCCCATGATGTGATTGGTCGATTCGGACAGTGTTCAGCAGTCCCTGGTGTCCAGTGCGTGTCCGCGGGTCCTTGCCTGTTCCTGCTTCCTACCCGGACCCTGTCTGGCACTCTGGCACACAACAGCGCACGCACGCAATGGACCGAAGAAGTCCATCGCCGGACAGCAGCAACATCGTGCTGGTCACTGCTGCCGGTGCTCTCGCGGCTGTCTCCTCGGTGGTGGTTTTTCTCGCGGTCGCCTCGCGGGACAGGCGCTCTCGTTTCCAAGACAGCAAGGAGTTGTACATCCCAAGCAGGTTGGTGCGCCACCACACGGCACTTGGTGCCGGGTGAGCTGTTTGCGCTGTGCGTCATAGGTCAACGTGCTCTTGGCCCTGCTGTCCCCTTCACCCGTTCATTACTTTCTGCACCGGCAGACTGCAGCTAGTTGTGGGCCACAATACTGAAGGTAGAGTGCCAGTTTGGTGCCGGTTCATGCGATGTACAGCAGTACACAGCAGTGCTGTAGTGACTGCCGCGTAATGACTGCCGCGTAACCCCGTACTTACAGCACCGGTAAACAGCTCGGCGGAGACCGAGCCCGCAGTATCAGTGCAGGCTGGAGCCCCTTCCGTGCACTCCAGTCCAACAAGCACCAGATCAGCGTTGCAGTTTGCAGAGTGTCGTTTTTTTTGCCCGGCTTCCTCCAGCTGTATACAGATAGCGCCCGCACTTCAGAACTTGGCACTTAGGAAATTGAGACTCGAAAAAAATCAGAACTTGAGCACCATTTGTGAGCTCGGTTAAGGACACAACACTAAAACCTACAGTATAAAGTGGCGATTTGTAGCCCTCAAGAAGATGATCGGCAGTATAAGAACCCCAGCCTCGGCCGAAACTGGAGGTTCTTAAGTGCGGGCGCCATCTGTATTTGCACTGCTCACAGCGGTTGCGGTGGTTCGGTAGAACTATGCGAAACAGCAGCAATAGCGCAGCAGTTTGTCTTGTCACCACCGCTGTACATGTATCTTGTTTGCTGTCGGCGTGGTCGACGTCGTGGTGCTCACATGTAAAAAGCCTCTCTGGCGTCTTTCCAGTTTCATTGCTCCTCCTCTGTGCCATCGCTGTTGCCGAGAAGAAGCTAAAGTCGAAGTATCGTTGCAGCATGTTATTCGGGAGAGAAAGACGTTTCCTCTCTGGGAACCACCACGAACAAAACTGAAGATCATTTTCTTGTAATGGAGATCTGATCATTTCCCAACACAGTGGATATCGGCTCGAAACAGCGCAAGTGAAAGGAAAGGGCTCCACCCACTCCCCAGCCACCGAACTCTCGCCCCTGGCGCATCCTCTATACTTCAACAGCACCGACACCTTCTCCGTCTCCTTAGCGAGAACACACACGCTCCCCACGGGTTCGTGCCGCAAAAGTGCCGAAAAGTCCGTCCCGTCTTTACGGTTGTAAATAGTTCGGAAACAGAACTTTCATGTTCGAATTCCAATCCGGGCGGATGGCGCGCGTCGTTTGGGTTACACCGCCATCTGGACACACGGAAGCAGAATTTCCGATGAGTGCATGCATAATCACGAAAAAATGCCGTTGAGAGACGCAAAGGTCAGACTTGGCCGCTGCGCCAAAACCGGTAAGAGTGCGCATCACACCCCCGTGAGATCGTTTTGTGCACATCATTTTCGCAGTTTAAATTATACCTCACGGGGGTGCGCTGACTCCGGACTGCTGTCCGGTAACTCCGGGCGGGCGATGACTCGCAATCTTTCGCTCGTCGACCCTCTGGTCGACGCATCAGTCGACGCATCAACACAAACGGAATTGAAGCAAATCAACGTTTTCTAGCATCGAATTTCAAGAATTTTCGCTGCTCGGACGCTGTCTCCGAGTGCAACCTGTTTTTCAGCGTCGTGTTGCGATTTACGAAACGGATGTTTTGATTCTCTCTGGGTCTAACGGGAACGCATATAGCGAGCACGGACCAAGGGAGCAGGCGAGAAAGAAAAGGTGCTTCGCGAGCGGACACATCCAACCACACCAACATCAACACGCGAACTTATCAACAACACTGGTTTGTTGGACGGACTGCTGAGCGCGTGTTACCATTTTTTGTTTCGGTTCTCAGATCGCTAGGGAGCGAGGCCGGCGACAGCGATGTGGCCAAGATTCCCAGGACCAACTCCACCGCTGACCTTGTCGCCCCGTCCTTGCAGCCTCATCCGGAGGGGCCCAACATCGGGGCGGGCAGCGTCCCCAACTGGTTCCAGAAGAATAGGTTAGTCGTTGCTACGGATACGCGGTGTGGTAGAGTTGGGGTCATGGTATGGTATTTGCGGGCTGCTACGGGTGGGCTTTCTCTCGTCGCTGTTGTTGCTCGTGTCGTTGCTGCCCGAACCTCTTCCGCGTAGTAGTAATCGTTGTCGATGATGATATTGATGATGATGCGGCCGAATCAACTGCGTGGGTGGTGAGTTGATGTGCCATATAACTTGGTGCTCTGCCGTTTTTCCACCCATGCTATATCCGACGCCGATTTCTGTGCTCGGAGGAGATTCACACCCCGATTGAATTTTATCGTCACGCGGGGCCTTCTTAAGTAGTCGCCCGTAGAAAACCTCATGGTCGAAGCGTGCGGTGTGTTGAGCGCCCGGGACACAGTCAGGCGGAGTTTAGTGTGTGCTTGGCGCAGTGAACAATGATCGTCGTGCCTGCGACAGCACTTTCACGTGGCATGCCCCGTCCCCACCGAACCATCCATTCCAGCTGCTTCCAACGAGATTGATCGGGAAAACACCGGTGTAAAGTGCTTTCATGGCAACAAAAGTGTCAGCTGATAGGTGTAGGCAGACCACGACGCGGTGCCCCCCACCCACTCCCGCCTCGCAACCCATCAGCAAGCAGTCCAGCTGAAAAACTCCGGCTGTCTTCAGGTCGAGTGGTAGTCACTGACCATCGGTTCTCCACGAACCAAATCTCGCACCTCCCCCCCCTCCCGGACAATCGACCATCGGTGATCGGTCCTGTGAGAAAATGCTCCGTCCTATCGACATGTATTCAATGACGTAACCTTTAAGACATGCAAAACATGATAATGCTCCCCCCCTTCCCTACGCTCGGCGCCACTCCACGCCAAACAGTGACCTCCCGCCCAAGACTGACCTCCTCCACAAGGGGCATCGCAAGGGGGGGAAGCTCTTGGTGGTCATGGTCGGCCTCCCCGGGACTGGGAAAACGTACATCTCGAGAAAGGTGGCTCGATACCTGCGGTGGATAAACTACCGCACGAGGGCATTCTCTCTGGCCAGGTGAGCCATCCTGATAGCGGGGACGGGGATGCACCGGACCAGAGTGTTGTGTTGTGTCTTGGGGGCCCGTTTAACTCAGTGTTATTCCTTGCCGAGACTCTTTTGTGCCGAGTGATGGGGCCTATCTTCTTTGTAGGGGCCTTCGTGGTTGCGACGGAGGGGGGTACCGCCCTGGCGGGGCCGTGGGCCGTATTTCGTGGTTTCCATGCTTGGTCGTATGCTGCCTGCTTAGTTTGGGTTCGGGGGTGGGAGAGCGTTGGGAGGGGGGTCCCGGTTGGTGCTTGCCTCGCAACCGCCGATCACGAAAAACCCGTTTCGAGCGACAGTCCACAAGTCTCTAGCGTGAGCTGAGCAACCCCCCCCTTTTTCTACAAGAAAAAATCTCACAGTAGCCGCTAGACTATCGATCATCCATATCTGCTATTCAAGACTTTCGATCATTCGACAGAGTGTCACGTAACGCTACCTCAGCGCGCGGCGCACTCTTCCGCTCGAAATGCCGCTGAGCTCGTTGTAACACGAAAACGAAGGTATCGCAACGCGCGCTGCGGCACGGGGCTGAAGGCAGAGTTCTACGACACCAACGACGACCAGACCGTGGCGGCACGCCTGGAGATCCTGGCGGCGGCGGTGGAAGACATGATCACGTACTTGTTACGCGCCGGGGAGGTGGCAATTTTGGACGGAACCAACTTCACGAAGTGAGGGCTGGCTGGGCTTGGTGATGGAGGAAGGAGGGGGGAAAGACGGAGAGGGAGATGAGGAGAGAGAGAGAAAGAGACAGAGACAGAGAGACGAAGTGGCAGAGACAGAGAGTACGAAGTATCGGCGGCAATCATAGCACTGACACGCGCAACTTTACACCCTCCTTGGCCCGCCCCCGTACCACATATATTCTACGGTCAGGCAACGGCGACAGCTGATCCGGGATCGAGCTGCCCAGGAGGATGGCTTCGAGATTCTCTGGATCGAGAGCATTTGCAACGACCTCAATGTGAGAGGGGGGGGGGCTGGACTAGAAGGCGTTCCGCATCCGCATCACGTTCTCGGCTGTACTTCCTCCTGCCTTGCCTGCTTTCAAGAAGTAGTACCGCAGTACTGCGTGTGTGTGCTGTTGCGGTCGAGGTTGCAGGATCGTGCACCGCTGTCTCCCAAAATCGTGAAATTTCTCTCGTCATTTCGCCGGTGTCGGGCCATGTCGCCACCAACACCGCAAGCGCGTTCGGTGTGTCTCGTTTCGCAGGGCGTCACGTGTAGCCTAAGAGTTGACACGACGTCACGGTAGACCAAGCTACGTAGCTGCTGCTCTCATAAGCGTCGGTGTGGATGGTTAGTCGCTCATGCGGCCGTGGTAAGGTGCGAATGGACGACGGGGAAGACGGCAAACACGCCCACGCACAGCGGCGAAGCCCACGAGGAGGGCCGCAGCTCGGCAGGCAGGCCGACACACGGGCGGCTCTGTGCCGGCTGGGTTTGGTGTTGTTGGGTCGGCCGGACGCGATTTTGGTGTCTTGTCGCGATGGGGCGAAGAGATGCTATCTTGCGTCGGTTATGATGCGTAGGGCATTATGTGGTAAAAAGTGTGTTGATGTGAAACCTATGTCGATTTGGGGTGCTGGTGTTTGGCTATTCTAGTGCCACACGACGCGACGACTCTCGTGACCCCCCCCCCCCCCCCCCCCCCCCCCCCCCCCCCCCCCCCCC